ATATCGTCTTTCATGTCTGTCATATTATCTTTCATGTCGGTGACCACTTTTGCAACATTCATGAGTCCCATTTTGATTGTGGCTAACTCATTGGGGGATGCACTAACCATTCCTTTCAATGCTAAAGCCTGACTGCTCTCTTGTCTTACAATTTGTAGCTGTTCTTCCATGTCACGCTGTGTCTCCTTGTTTCTTTGAGCACAAGTCTTATTTGCTTCTTCTATCTTTTCTCTGCATATTCTTTGTTCTTCCTCCAGTTTCTCCTTTGCCTTTTTTTTCTGTTTCATTAACTTTTCTTCTAATAGCATGATTCTTTTTATCAACTGGGCAATTTGACTATCTTTATCACTCATTGCTATAATAACGAAACACACATTTGTAACTATATGTGATTTGTACGTGAATATTTCAAGCTACCTTTACTGAAGTACTCTGCATGTGTTGTTTTTGTTTCTCTCATTTCTGCTTCTTTGGTTTCAAGCTTTTCCATTAGCTTTCTGATGAGCCTGTCCTTTTCCTTAATGCCTACATTATACAGTGTACACTTAATTTCATTTTGATACATGTGTGGTATTACATTCTTCTGACTTTTGACATAGCTCATCTTTTATTTTTAGTTCATTGCTGGCATCCTCAAGATCCCTCTCATACTGCTTGAGTTTATCTTCTAAGTCTTTGACTTGTTTAGTTTGTTGTTCTTCTCCTCCACTTGCCCCCTCTTTACTCATGATTTTTTAAAGTCTTGTCAAAATGAAATAGTCGGCTGTCCGTTAAATTAGAATAGTTTATATGGTCTACTACTAGGAATTCCTTTTCACTTGATGGCATGTACATGTGCATTGCACATGTAGAAGGTGCATTATAAGAAAATCAACCAAAATTTACACACTAAAACCCACTAGTGTTAATGTAGCTGTTTTGTGGCTTCTGTTTTGGGCAGTTTTATACAAAAACTGCAGTTTTTCTATATAGCTTAGTTATAATTTATATGTACATAGACTAGCATATTGCGCAGTTAAAAATATACAAATGATAATAGCTATCATTAATCATTAATGCAAGTATGTATATGTCATTATGTTGTTACTAATGTTAGAAGTCGGAATTAGGTTCATATACATTCATCTGTGCTGGCTAAAAGTAAAAATAATAATAATAATAGTAAAATTTTTAAAGTTGTAATTCAATAACTTACTTCCATAGGAGTCTTGTGGAGGAGTAATAGACTCAATACCACAATTAGTGCATGTATAATTGTAGCATGTATAAATGTACATGTAATTGGGTATAATTTCAATTACATGTACACGTACTTAATTGTTACATGCACATGTACAGTGTACATTTTTTTATCAAAATGAAATTTGAATTAATTTAAAAAAATACTAGTAACTTAGTCAGTATAGTACACAAAATTACATAGAATATGTCACATGTACATGTAGTTCTTCATTTCATCATTTTGTGTCGTCTTCGGCATTTGTAGCTATTAATTCAGTCACCTCTGTCATGCCTGAAATGAAACATGTACATACACGTTATTATTAAAATTTAATTAAAAACCTGTTTCTTCAACTGGTGGATCAAAGTATGGTTCTACATTAGTGTCACTCACTATTTCTATTAATAATAATACATGTACATGCTGCAATTAGTAACTTAAAGCTTGTATTACTTGATTGTGTACAGCTATAAGTAGGATCGGATTCAGTAACTGCTTCTCCTGTTATTAGTGGGGCACTGGGCTTTTTACTTTCATCAAGTTTTTCATTCAAAGTGGCTACTTCTTGTTTGACTTTATCAAGATTTTCTTCCAGCTGATGGCCCATGCCTTCAACCTTTTCACTAATACCCTCCATCTTTTGATCCATCTTTTGTTCCATGCCCCGCACTTGCTGACCAACCTTTTGAATTTCAGGGGCAACTGCAGATCTCATTGCTTCTATAACAAACTGTCTGGCTTCCTCTCTTATATCTCTCTTGCAGATGGCTATGCGTTTGTCCACATCCTCTTTGTCCTTAGCTTGAGCAGCTCTCAATTCTTCCACTTGCTTTGTCCATGATTCTCTTTCCTCCTTGAAAGAGGCTTTTGCTTCTTTTAGCTCCTGAGTGATCTCATCATTTTCTTGTCGCAGCTGCTCAATTTTTGTTATTGTTGTTTCGCTTAGTTCTGAAAAATATAGCTCTAAAATATATAGTATGTACTTTACTGTACCTTTTATTTGCTGTTCATAATATTTTTCCTGCTCCTTTAGTCGGGTATCTTTCAATGTGGACTCCTGTTCTCTTTTCTTTTTCTCTTGTTTTAAAGCATATTCTGCCTCTTGGAGTTGGTCAGACATTGTTTTGACTTTTATTTCCAACTGATCAATGGTTTTCTTCAAAGGCCCTGTTCCAAGGTGTTTGGCAAAGAAATCGGTGACACTAGCAGTCAATGTATTTCGAGATTGCGATCCTTTGAAAGAGAATAATGATAAATTATTAATATTTTGTGAGGGAAATTCTGTACTTTCTTTTGTCTGCTGCTCATAGGCTACTTTCAATGCCTTTATTTCAGAGTCTTTGGTTTGTACTTCTTCCTTGAGACTTTTAATTTGCATATCTCTCTCTCTCAGACCTACAAAAATAGTAATTTATATTTAATGTACTATAATTACTTTGATCGAGTTCTTCTAGCTTTATTTCTTCTTCAGTCACTTTTTGTGTTGTTCTATGTGTCTTCTGTTGAGTGTTACCATTAAGTTCCTCTTGGTTTGGTTCAGTTTCCACTCTCCATTCAGTAACGGTGTTTGAAATGTTTTTAATAGTTTGTTCAAATGTTAACATAGACCTTTTAGTAGGTTCAGTATTTTGCTGGACTTGTCGTAGCTTTTCTTCCATTTCAAATCTCATCTCTTTGTTGTTGCATTTCTGCAGCTCTTTTTTAAGCTTCTCTTCTGACTCTTTAATTTGCTCTTTTAGCTCTTTCTCCAATAATTGAATCTGCTCAATTTGTTTTGCAATTAGACTGTCTTTGCCTGTGAAAGCTATAATATCAATAATAAGTATAATAACTAGACCTTTTTTCAATTGTTCTAGCTCCTCTTTTGTCTTTATTTTATCCTTTAAGTCTTTAATGAGACTGCCCCTTTCTTCTAGTCCTATTTATACAATGCACAATGCATTATACATATCATACATGTATTTAAGTAAAATTGTTCTTACTTTTTCTTTTGCTTTCATCACATTCACTTTTAGCCCCTACTTCATCCTCTGGTTTCAACACTTCTTTGGCATCCTGAA